ACCACTGCAAGTTGGAACACCTAGTAGTGCCAGTGTATATATCTGCTTCCAAAGAAACCACGGACTCAAAAGAGTTGGATATTATACAACTCATGATGATCTATAATCCGAGGGAAGGCTATTGATGTCTTGCCTCCTTTGCTCACAACAAACCGCCCGTCCCCGTTTGGAGAAAGGAAGATGCACGGAGCACCACCATGCCAAGCTGCCGTGATTCAGAAGCAAGAGATAGCCTCGGGCGGCAGCCAAGCCGCGGGAAAAAAAGACCGCGGTGTCCGATGTGTCCAAACACATCCAAGCTGTCTGGGACTGACAAACTGACAGGTTTATACAATTGGATTTGGGTCCCTCAGTTGTCCTGGAACATTCAGGTCAACCGAACTTTGCACGGCTTGGAGTGGGGAAACCAATCTGCCATAAAGCTTATACAGAGGTTAGGGGTATTGATTGAAAAGGGATGTCAATGTGGGTCAATGTATAGTCCATAGATCATCGGTCCTTTTCCTAGCTATATATATTACCAGCAAATACAACTTTCACTTTTTTGATCGCACCCAGTGGAAGCTTAACTTCAACATATTACGGTCTCCAAAGCATCCCCTGGGCCGATGCCTTTCATCAGATCAGTTGAGATTCGTTGTGTTTTTTCCCCCCTGAGGTGTTCATCCAGAGGGTCTGAGCATTGCTCCTTTCGTCGGTGAACGCGACTGGTTCCAGCGACTGCGTCGTGTCCGTGCTTCGGCGCCGTCTAGGCGGGCGATGGCGTTCTGGGCGTTCCGGATCGATCCAGATCGGAAGTTCCAGAGACGTTGCCAGGGCAAAATGTCTGAGAGAACAGGAGCAAAAACGAAGAGCCCAGAAACAGTCTGAAGCTGAATTGGTAGTCTCCTGGCCTATTTTCTAGTCGCAAAATCGCACACCTTAATATTTTGATTAGGTACATCCGGAAAAGTAGATATAAGCACAACATAGCACAACAGATCTTGCAGCTACGTCCATTAAACCAAAAGAAATAACCAACACTCTTGTTTGCGCTTGTTTGATCCTTTTCTCAAGGACACGGCATGACACAGCCACTCTCTTCCGCCAACTACCCACACATACCCACGACGAGCTCTGTTCCGAGCTCGGTGGCCGTTCTTTCACGAAGACGACCGCCTCAGGCGAGCCGAGTGACCGTGCGTCGCATGCCGCCCGATCACCACCACTTCATGCTGCCCCTCCCGCACCATGGCGTTGGCAGCGTCGGGAGACTCCAGACGCGCGCGCGGCGTTGACGGCTGCTGAATGAGCGGCCAAAAAACAGGAGAATATGGTGACGTTGTCTAGACATGTGTCTGAACACTGTTTTTGTGGGTCTCGGATGTAAATGTGTGAGCGTGTATTTGATTGTTTTGCATGTTCTATGTGTTTTCTGAACTGTAGCATCGCAACGAATCAGATTCGTTCCAGCACGCCGGCCATGGAGACGCCTTCTGCATGACCAGTGGAGACCTCATGCCCCCAGAAACGTTTAAAACAACGACGTGAGGAGACTGGAGGAACGGATCTCACATGCCCAAAGCCAGGCAGTTGTGACCAACAATCCGTTTACGATATGTTCCACTATATCTTCCATATACTGTGTTGCTTGTATGTTATGTGTTTAAATGCAATTTGCAGCATATGCAGCACATGGATTGTGAGCATGTTCATGTTAGACATGTTGAGTCGAAACATGACTATCTACCTGTGTCCACAAAAGCGTCTGCATGTCCTGTCTTACTTGAAACCGGCCTTTCAGTGGTGTTCCCCACAGGGGCAAATGTGTCGGTACAAGGGCCACCTTTCGAACCAGCTGCGGTGTGTTCAGGCCGGTGAAGCAAATCGAGGCAGTTGAAAAAGCTACCAGGGCGCCCAGGCCATGGGTTGTGCCCGGCGAGGGGTCTCGGGGATCTTAGGGTGTCCATTAACCAAACAGGGCGCCTTGGTACAGGGCTCCAAGCAATTCCTGAGAAGGTAGGTGGACCCCGGAACCCAAAGGCCCAAGTTGAATAGCTCTCCCAAACGATCTCCATGACACCAGTCTGCCAAGGTTGAAACAAAACCTATTCCCAATGTCACCATGAATTCTCCATGGTCTCTGAACCACTTGGCACCTTAGTCTCTGAGTCTCTTTTGACCAAAAGTCCATCCCCAAAAAGTACATCGACATAGTCCACTTCACCATCTATCTATCTGGCAGGTTTGGGATCCACTCTTCGGCCCAGCCACCATCGAGCTTCAGTGCTGGGCTTCGATAGCAAAAGGTGGCTTCGCTCAGAGGTGGTTGCGATGATGTCCGATGCACCAACAGTAGACGAAGGGAAAGCCATCGCCCAAAAGGTAGCTTTGTGCACATGCCAGGTAACTCTGCCCGAATCTATTTGGCGAATTCCGCTAAGACATTACATCTTTATCATGCAAAGTTCCAACAACACTCGATGTGTTCACGCAAGGAAACCCACCCCCTATAGTGATGATTTGTTGGGGGAAGATCTTCTCCCCACGATGATTCTTCGTGGCCACTCTGGTAACATCCGCTCCGCTCCGCCCCCTCGGGTCTCCGCACCGCAGGAAGACCGGCTCGGACTCTCCCGTGGCGATGCCGAAGGTCGCCGCGCTCTTCCTGGGAGGGACGAGCTCGTCTGCGCGCGCGGCGAGGTCGGCAGGGTGCTCGGTCCCGACGTCCGGGGAGTCCAGAAGACTTGGTCCGACCAAGCTGACGTCCGTCTTTGCTCCATGCTGATCCATCTCTGCACAGGGGGGGGCGGCATAGAAAATCGCGTCTGCCCAAACATACGACGTCAAGTGGAGAACAGGATTCAGTAAAGTGATGTAAAGTGATAGTTATCGCTTCATTGCACCTTTTGGCGGTTGCTCATCCCATAGGGTCCAGGTACCTCCTCAAAATGGTCTTGGAGGTGAAAGTACTTCCAGAGAATGGTCTTGGGGGGTCAAAGGACATCCTCAGGATGGCCCTGGACCCTTAGGGAATATAATCCATCGAGTGTAATTGGATCAAGAAATTCACGTGTCCTTTTTCACTACACGGCAGAGTTGAGCTGTGGCTGTGCCATGCTGTGGCATGCTGCTGCCGTTCATCCCAAGCTTCCCCTCACGGAAGGTCCCGGAAGGGTATATATTACGGTATGCTAAATGAACACGTCCACAGCACAAAGTAGAGGTCAACAAACTCACCTGTAGCATCCAAACGCACACAACTCGCTGGATTGGATCTTTTCACCACTACATCTCACTACTCCCCCCCACTTCCAACCCTCGTCTCACTACCTTTCGTTCCAACGTCCGTTGACGATTCCGCGCTCCACCGGCGGCGACCCGCTCCTCTTGGCGTCATGAAAGCGCTCGCGCAGCGTGCCGCGGAACCAGCGGAAGGGCTCGTCCAGGAGAATGAGGCCATGAGCTGCGAGGGCGGACTTTTCAGCCGGGCAGATGACCGAGGGACACACGTATTCAACGGGGGCAACACGGTGCAACACGGTGCAAATCGCAGATTGGGACATGGCAGAGTTGGCAGCAGTGTTGAAACATGTTGAAACTGAGTTTGGAAGTAGAAAAGTAGAGGGGAGTCCATCGGCAAGCACGGATTCCTAGCTTTAAATGAGGTTTCAAAGACATTGATGATTCATTCCTCATTCCTCCACACACTGGGCGGCTGGCACCGCTTCTTCAGCCCTTTTCGGTTTCGGCGCTGTGACTCCTCTGCTTTGTACACGGTGCCACAAAACGTCAATCGGAGTGAAGATCGGCTTCGCGCGGGGTCACGCGCGCGGCGAAAACGCTGAGGTTTCAGCGTTCTCCACTGAAGGAGCCGTGCGTCTGGCAAGTGGTGAACATCAAATCATTGCAACATATGGTAACTCCCTGTATGTATTATATAACAGTGAATTTCTGCAAACCACCAGCTAGGAGTCATATCAGCTAGTTTTGCAGTTCTGCTGGTCAACTTCAAAAAAAGTGATTGATAGTTCCCGGGCATGTCCATGGGTGCTTTTCTCAAAACCCGAGACTCGCAGGATTTTATACTAGTGGTGCCCTTTGGAGTGCTCCACTACCAGAAGTCATGACTTTTGGGACAATCAGTGTGTCTTGTCCTCAAACTTCTTGACGATTTGGACTCCCTAAATACCACGGGAGGACAAGTAGACCAAGACCGCTTGGGGAGGCCTATTCTCTTCTGTCCACATATGCAGAGCCAAACTGGGATATGTTTTCTTCTGTGTGAGATGTTGAGACCTAGTCACTAAGTCACTTCCCACCACATCGTAACATACCATGTTATGAATCGTCTTTTTGCTGCTTATTGTAGAAACGTTCCGTCATGTGCGGTTGTGATGAACAAGGGTTTGTGATGCAGCCATACTACCGGTACCTCTATAAGCCTTTTAAGCTGCTGAAGGGTACCTGGGGATTCCTCTCGGACATATATGTTAAGAAGCACAGTGTTCCCGGAAATTCCTGGCTCCTATCATGCGCTCCTTGTCGATATCTGATGTTCTTTGGCTTTGTTTGAAACTCACAACTCAAAACGCATGGCCTTTCACCTAAACTTCGTGAGACTCTTGATTATTTATACCCCTCATCAATAATCCAAAGGGGGTAAGTGTTATGCATCAAGAGTCTACAATAGAGCCTTTCCCATAGGCATTCCTCTCTTTCACCGAACATCTCAGCCTGGGTGGCCTATGGTGGCCTAGTACATCCTAGCAGTCCTAGCACCTTCAACCTTCAATCCACCTGAGCATCTGTGCGGCATCCCATGGGGTCCCACTTTCGGAGACCGCTCCGGCTCACCATTTTGGGGTGGAACTCACCTCTCCATTGCGGCCGGACTCGCGATTTATCCATCCCGGCGGCGGCCTCAGGCCGCGCGTTTCTTTGAGAAAATCCTCTGAGAAACGCTGGTTGAAGCCCAGAGTGTTTGAGCAAGTCAAACGTTGTCAATCGACCGGTCTTGGTCAGGCCAGCAACATCTCCCTGCCCGCAAACTCCAGGACCTGCGCCGTGGACGCATCCGCGGATGCACGCGCGGCCGCGGATGCGCCCGCGGACTGGAACGCAAAAAAGGGATGGAGCGGAGTGCGAGAGGAATGGTGAGGTTAAGTGATGCCATTTTTACATGAACAAATACACCTGCACCTGTCTGACACATGTAAGAATGCGTGATACATGCCCGGGGCTGTTCACCTGGGGGTATTCCCTCGTTTCATCAACAAAATAAGTCTGTTAGAGGCTATCCATGAACACTTCACAAACTCGCTGCAGAGTTTCAGATTTCCAGTGTCGTTCTCGGAGTATAGGTGCAAACAAACTTGGATGCTTTCCCTCCAACCCTGGAACTCCGCGCACGCCTTCCAAAAATCACACCGAAAAGCTTCGACCAACTGGAGACAAAAAAACACCCAGTAACACCACAAAAAGAATGACAAAACCCATATAGAAAAGACATGGAAAAGACATGACCACACAGCGCCATCACGTCGCTTCCCGCGCGCGGTGCTTTGCCGCAGCGCCATCACGTCCGACCCGGGCATCCCCAGAAGCGACAGACGGCCTTCGCGAGCTTTGACTCCAACTGGAAGCGTTCGCCCACGGGCGGCAGCACCTGCCCACCGCGAAGGACGAGCCGGGCCGGAACGCGAGCGTTCGCCCATCTGCAGTGACGGACAGGCAAACGGACCCAGGGGTGGTTGAAAAAGGATGAACAAGGGCTCAAATATGGCTCGATATGCGGTACTGCAGAGACGTGGCATAGTGTATCATATTGTGTACATGGGAGTGCCTGGGTCATGAAGCGACTCACAACAAACTTAGCCAATGCGCATATATCAATTTCCAAGTAGGGCATGTCTGCACAAACACAAGGTCACGTGCGGGATTCCCTGCTTGAATCTTCTGAGTCCCAGAGTGAGCAAGATTCAGTGCCATAAGGAATGCAATGAGTTAAACTTGCGTTCAAAGCGCCGGTAAGAGTTGAGGGCTTGCAGTTCGTTCGAATGTGTTTTTCTAGGACCACTGAAAGAATCAGCGAGAATCAGCAAGAAATCTGAGCTTGGGACCAGCAAATTGGTGCAGGTGTGTGCCGAAGGAAGCGCCTGCCATGTGGGCAGGGAAGTTGCTTGGAAGACGCCTTCAAAGGAAGAACGAGGCAACAACCCAAACCCGCTCCAAAACAAACTTCTCCCTGTCTCTCTATCTCTCTAGATTGGCCTATCCTTCCAAAATGGCCGCGGGTGCCAACAATGGAACTTGCAGGTGAGCAGCCCCAAAAGGTACCTTGCTGAGCAACAGGAGAGGACCCAACAAGCTCAGGCTCTGGCTCTGGCTCGTCCCAGCACGTCCCAGCAGCGTGCGGCTGCTTGTACATTTTTGCTTTCCCACGGATGGTCAAGAGGTCCCTATATAAGAGTATTCATCAGCCTGCGGTCTGGGCCCCGGAAATGGAAGCCGGGACAACAGCCCAGAAAAGCGCCGCCATAGAAAAAGACCCCTTAGATCTTGAACAATTGACCGTTTTTTCCGGTTTTACTTTTCACCCACATCAACTGCTGGAAAGGAACATGTACGCTTCATAGGTCCGAGTCTAAGCCATAAAGATTCTTGGATCTTCGTGGTGTTGAAATATTGCAAACCAGGTTTTCCACCCCGTCCCCGAGGTTCTTTTTTGAATTTGGCAACTAATACTATACTCACCTTCATGACCCAAACACCCACAGAAATCATGTCGGGCAAGCACTGGGATTCCCCTCCACTTGGACGCGGAAGGGCAAGTATCGTCCTGGCGGTCGAAGAGGGTTCGTCTCCATCCCCTAAGACTGTAGATGGTCGACTGGAGAGACGATGAGAAGCGGTGTTTCTGGGTGTTGCAGCCTTTTTCTTGTTCAAGTGTTGACTTTCTTTGAGTCCAACACAAACATCTGATTGGGATCTGAGGAAAAGGTCTTGAGGGGAAATACTGTAGCTTAGCTTTTGCATTCAAAGGATTGCTGAGCCCTGAGCTACTTGAACAAAACAATAAAAAACAACTTCCGAACCGGGCTTCCTAACAAGAAATCAGAGTCCAAGTTCTCTGTACCAGGACCCTGCTGGCCAGGCTGTTTGGAGACCTGACCACACGTGGTTTCTAGACACCTGTTGTCACCAGGAAACACCTGTACCGGCGCCCCTAGGGCCCATGCTGTCCACTGACTCTCTCAGTTTCCCCCCCCAAGGGTCCCCGCACGGCGTGAAAAAGTCGGGGGGGACACCCACCTTGTCCCCACCTTGTCCTGGATAGGAAAAACCATGCAAAAAAGAACAGAAAGAACCCGCCCTGGTTCTTCAGTTCGTGACCTAACTTGATCCCCCTTGGACACTGTGGTCACTGGTCGAAGAAGCCACCTCTATCAGCCCCCGGAGGCTCCTTGTGGATCGCGCAAGCCCTGCCAGCCGCATGGAAGCACCTAGAAACAGGGTCTAAACTGGGTGGAGGAAGCAACAAACCAAACTGACCAGGACGATGCCGGAGATGCCTGGAAAACTAAGTTGAAGTTGTCCACCTGTTCTTGTTGAGTCTGGAAACTAACTCCCCAAAGGGTTACAACATGTTTTCCACTGACTGGGTAGGAAGGCCATCTAAAACAACCCAAAACACCGGGCTTCAACACGCTTTCTGAGTTCACCTGCCCTGTTGGACATGCCCCCCCAAAAACAAGTCGCAGAACCCATTAAACATGTTGCAAACACTCCAGTGCGCATTTTCCTCTCAACATCTCCACAACACCGTTCAAACAACCCCTGGTGGCATCTCGCATTGTGGGACGTCTCGAACCCTACTCCCTACTCCCCCACACCTATCGGATCCTGTCGGTCGCAGGAGGGGGGCGAAACGCCGGGCGAGACTCGCGTTTGGGCGTGCAAGGCGGGTCACACTGGAACCCGTCACGAAGGCCAACATCTTGGAACGTGCCAAGGCCGACCTCGGGGGTTCGAAGGCGCCATGGGTCGCCGGTCGCTGGAGTGGTTGGCTTCGCCCGCACGTTCTTCCGTTGGACCATGGAAAAGAAAAATAATGGTCTTGGACGTCATAGTCCTTATATAGTTTAAAACACGGTAAAACAATGGTCGTTTGCTAAAGACACTTTGAATCATCTTACATCGGTTGGAATCCTGGGGTGTACCTAGCACCTTCAATGGTAGGATAGCCCCCAGGAGCCCCTTCAGAGTGACCTGAAGGGGCACCTCAATAGAAAGCACCCTAATGCGGTCGTGCGTCTATGTATATTTGTAGGCAATACATCCCTCTGAATTCCCGCATGGAGTGCGTCCAAGGGAAGTCTAGAGAGGTGATCCGGTCCTAGACATGTGATGGGCGGGATGGGCATATCCAACAAAGGTTAAGTGACCGTAAATAGGACCCGTCACCTGGGGTACTATACCCTAAGGATCCAAGTACCCTCTGAGAAGGTGTTTGGGGTGAGTTTGGAGGGTCCAAGTACCTTTTGAGGAGGTACTTGGATCCCAAGGGATGGGATAGGGTTCTTCAACCTCTGCTGGATCACCGGAGTCGAGATCAAACTGACGTCGACAGATCTCCCGACCAGTTGAAGTAGTTCTTTCGGGGTGAAACGTCGGTAGATGCCTGCCAATCATGTCTGGAAAACAGTTGCCAATTCTGGCACACCTGGCGCAGTGGAGAGCCTTACAAAACGCTCAAAGACTCATTGGACCTCCAACTGCTACGGTTCAGTCCATTTCACCCGGACGGTTGTGAGGGTCCAAACTCGGATGCGCGAACAGGTTGGGTCCCGCCACTGAGGCTCTGGGTATCGTTGGGTGGAAAGACGTCGGGTCTCCAAGTGATTCCAAGTGCCCAATGAGTCACAACGATGGGGTGCCGAACGAACCCAACGAAGGAGGATAGGGCTGCCCCTGTCACATCCACTCACTGGATGGAACTCAAAACATCTAACTCCCATCCAACTCCATGTGACTCGTGGACTACCTGGTGTTTCTTCGGTCCAAAGCTCGCCCGAGGCGACCGGAGGGTTCCCATGCAGCGACTCCACGAGTTCGCGCGCAGAGAACGCTTTGGGATGGGTCTGGGACGACTTGCTGGACGCTTGGTGCCAGGCTGGGGGGGGTGTGCTGAAAGCCGATCGCATGGCTGGGCGAACACCGTGACACCGTGACACCGTTCGCCCCACTCCATCACCACGAAACGACCCGACGTATCCCGACGTGACGCGCCCTTGTCGCGCGAGAGACTGCTTGCGGAGCCAATCGAAGAACCAGCCAACGACCTGCGATTTCCAACGACAGTTCGCCTTGACCTCTGAGGTTGAAAAGGCTGTAGGTCAAAAATGGTCAAAACATGTAGCCGTAACCCATAATTGATGGTAGGTTGACCTATATCCTATATGAATTTTACGTGGTCAACCAAGGTTCCCAGGATTTGATCGATTTATGCCCTTCAGGCCTTTCACCAAACAGGATTGCAAACATATTTCAGCACATATCACAAGTTATCACAAGCATCTCTGAAACGCCTCTATGGGTCTGCTGCGTCTGCTGCGGGTTGCTACGGCAGTTCTGAGAAGACTTGGCACATTTAGGCAGTCTTTGAGGGTCTTTGGTGTGTAACATGGTGCAACCAAAACTGTTTCAGTTGCTGCTGCATTGCTGCTATTGGCCGGTGCCCACAAACAAAGTGGATCCAACAGAAAGATCCTCCGCTCCAACTCATTGCCGAAGCCTCAAAGAATCCAATGTCCAAGCAAAAATCAACTAAACCACAAAAGAACACCACAAGTTACTCTCCACTGGGAGCCCGTGGCCGTGTTCCGTGGCTGTCTCCTGCCTCTGGGGAGCCCTCAGTGATGGCGTTTTCTTCCCATTCATCGACGTCCAACTCGTTGGTACCGCCTCGGGTCCACTCGACACATCGACGGTGTTCTCCTGTCACTGTCGCGATGGCTATTTCGCTGTTTCGTGGCGTGTGACACATCGACATCATCGAAGGAAGTCATGAAAGATGCATAAATTAAGCCATTGTACCGTACCACTTGAATTGTTTTGAGTCCGTCTTTTCAACTTTCTCTATCTAATTACTTGGGTCTGGATAACCCTCCTCCCAGCAGGGGCATTCAAGAAGGAAAAGGGTGATGTTACTGGTGATGTTATAATTTATAATCGTTTCTTAGCCCTCAGCGTAGCAATGTTGGCTGGTCTTTGCCGCACTTTCCGTGGCTTTTGTCCAGAACTGCTGTACTTTGCAGAAAGAACACTCAGTCAGTGGTGCTAAGATCTACAACAGTTCGCTTCTCTCAAGTCTAGAAGTGCTATTTACATCGATTTACTTGCTACATGATGCGAACCTTCTTGGAAATTGTTTAATCGGTGCTGAGCTGTTGAACAACTGCTCCAGTCTTTGACCAAACGGCTCTCTCACTTCAAACAATTCTTGAAACAAAAACTCCAAGGTCCGGAAAAAGGTCTCTCGCTCAAATGTGGGATGCAAAGAGATGATAGAAACAAGACCCGCGGTTCCTTTGGGATAAAAGTGCGGTGTTGAATTCTATTCCCAAAATGGGCCCTGTGGGCCCCTAATCCCTGGTAGGTTGACCTCCCTAGTCCAGTCTGTTCATTTTCGATGGTCAACCTACCAGGGATTTTACAAACGGATGCCCTGCATGAGCTGCAATGGAGCTGGAACGATGGAACACTGGATGCCCCGAACTGATGCTAACTGGTCTATGCTTTTGTCTACCCCCCCCCAAAAAAAAACAGAAAACAAACACACACAAGTGGTGTAAACGGTATAAAGGCTGCGCACAATTAATTGGACCTTCAGTTCGTGACTTCAAACTGAAGTTTATGACAAGTGACCAAAAACACCAGGACTACTCAGTTCAGCCACGTGGCTGTGTGGTTCGGTGTTTGGCTAAGCCATTTTCCTACCAGTCCGGTCCAGCCTACCAGTCTCAGCCGTCAGTCTGCACCGGGCCCTCCGGGCAAATGAGCATTCGCAGCTGCTCCGCCTCGGACCGCCCGAAACGAAGCGAGACGAACGAAAACGAGCCAAGAGTGTGCGGACGGTTCCGCGGCCGGTGACGTGGGGCGATCAGGTGGTCATAGACCCATGGAGATGGTTGATTGAATGTTGAATAAAACCCAGACAATGCATCCAGTCTGACAGTCCAATGATGTCCAGTCTGACAGGGTAACACCTGTGTTCTTTTGCCTCCTTAGTGTGCAGTGTGAACGAGGTGAACTTGACCAACTCCAGTAAAATGAGGTCATTGACCTGTAGGGCATGGGTACACCATGATTGTGGCCAACAAAATATATCGCTCCACGGTGATTCGTACGTATAAAACGCCCAAGGCCACCTCTGGAAAGGTCCTTCAAACCCGGACCTTGACACAGAAAGTTATATTGACATGACAGCAAATTCCAAACCACTTGAGAATAAATTCCATGAGACTTGTTGATGTTCCCAACCACCAGCATTCCATCTTAGCAGACCTCCCTGTAGCTTTGCATGCAAGAGGTGCGAGTGTTCAGCACAGGGGTGAGAATTTGTTTTGAGGCAAAAAGGCATACGTTCCTGCCTATGGAAGGAGGGTGTGGAGAGGAAGTTAGGATACTCTGCGAAGAAAAACATGACTGTAGCTCGTGAAAAACACAACGTGAAACATCTCTTGTCTCTTGGGCTATGTCTAGATCCAGGGCCCTAAATGGTCTTAGAAGCTTAGGAAGGTTCGGGTGATTGATTCTCTATCTGGAGTCGTACATAGATCATATATGTGCTGCTTTCGGTCCTCAACCGATCTCGTGACCTTAGACGAAGCACTACCGAAGCGATTCGTGCACTTCTCTCTACCCAGTTGGGTTGTCTCTTCTGCCCACACCCAAGGTCCCCTGGGTCTTCCGACATCTAAGGAGCTTGCAGACAACAAATCCTGCCCAACAAGTACGGTTTGTGGGCCAGGAGCCCTAGAGCTACAAAGCATGTGCGGAAAGAACAACACAAAAACCACTAACAACTGGCGAGCATTCCATGTACCAAACATGTGGATCTGGGCTTCTGGGGCCTGGTCCGGTTCCTCCAAATCCGGTTGATGCCGAATGGAACTTGGAACACCTTGGGAATTCTTGGTCCTGCATAGGGACGACTGCCACCAATTCACCAATCCCAAATAACCCATGATAACCCATGTATGACATATATATATATATATTGACCGACATTAGGGTGGTTTGAGGGGTCTGACGTTCGCAATGTTGAAAAGATCCGCTCCCACGAATTGATCCCAGAATGATTAGTCAATTATTTAATATATACCAGCACCCTCCAACAGGTCTCCTTTGGAGGGTTGGTCTCAATTGGTGTTGATGCATTTGTTTGTTGCCTGGAACTGATGCCACCACCGAGCCGATGTGTGTTCCGATGGTAGGCTCCCTGAAAATGCAACTGGAAGACCGCATTCGTCGGGGCGCCGTGTGGTACTTCACACGAGCACAACTCCACATCCACCAAGTGCCAGTTCGGGATGCGACGGGTCAAAGCTCTTCCAACTCGGACACAAACGGTGAGAACTGGCCAGCTTGCTTGTGGATGTTCATGCAACGAGATGCAACGAGGCAATTGGAAGAAGATTCAACAAGAGTCCATTTGAGCAACATGAGGTCTTTGAGCAATGTCGCTGGACACCCTGTGTTCAGGAGGGACACAAAGTAATGAGTTTCTCTCTGGCAAATTTGGTTTGGAAGAATAGTTTCTCTGTGGCATGGTCAGCAATGGCACATTGGCAAAGTTCCATGGATCTTGCCAGATATGTCCATCGGATGCATTGGGTAGCAGCTTTGCAGGCAGTGTTCGTCACCTGCAATCCAGTGAAGATTCACTTCCTGCAATTCTTACTGAACAGGCTTCTGCACAACCTGGGTCGCTTGTTGAACTTGCTTTCGCCTTAACCGGCTTTCGCAAGCTAGCTACCCCAACATATACCAAAACCTGTGTGAAGGATTAATGACATACACCCAGTTCACTCACCCAGTTCACACTGATTCGCAAGTTGCAACGTCGACAGGCAAGCCTCAACTTCGAGTTCCCAAGTGACTCATCACAACAGAAATCACTCGATGTCACTCGTCCGCGCGAGCGAAAACACCAGGGACCCTGACAGCCTGACGCCACTTCTTCGAGCCAGACATCCCTTCGAGCCAACCCGCCGCGTTCGGTCGGTCGTGGAGGCCTCAGGAACCAACTCGTGAAAGCCCAACATCAGGCCTCCGGTCCGGCGCGTCGTACCGCGAAGCGACGCGCGGAGGCGTGAGCGCGCGTGACGAAGTGACGCGAGATCTGGGGTCTTCTTCCGGTTTTCCGATGTTGGGCGTTCTCAAGCAAGCCAAACAAGAAACAAGACAACGGTGGTGATGATTTATTGACTTATCCTCATCATGTTTTAAGCTGTTTTCAGTTTAAGACATTAAAAAGCATTAAAGCTATTGAAAAGATTTGAAAAGGACGTTAATCTGCATGCTGATGTTGGTCCTGCACACCTGGCACACTTCTTGAGACACTGTTTGACTGTGGACGGGCTGTTAGACCCACGAAACACCTGATCTACACCGATGATGTCAACCACAATGTATGCTGTGTTGCTTTCTTTTTGGGTGGTAGGCCAGTACGGCTCGCCCAGCGTTGTTTGGTCTGTTTGAGCGTTCACCTGTTAAGACGTGCGACCGGTCAACGACGTGTGACCGACCGAAGCAGGTCTGGAGACCTCGCGTCCGCTCGTCGCGGACGTCGAGGTCGACGCGTCGACGCTGGGCTTCGGCACAGCTGATCTCCGGGCGGATGGAGCCGATCAAGAAGTCTTCGCACAGCAGCTGAGCATAGTCCTGGGCGTAGAGCGTCCAGCTGCATCCCTTTGGGAGCCTAATAATAGAGTGCTTTTGTTTTTCCCGAGGAGTAGAGTACTGCAGGAGAAAGCTGTTCTCTTTCAATGAGTTGTTTCAATACTCGGCTTGCAAAGCGGGTTACCAGATCGAGATGGCGCCATGTCACAAACTCTGGATGATCCTCCAGTCACCAGTAGAGCTCCAAGCTCATCTTGTCAACTCAACTGCCACGAAATCGGGATGGGATGGGTCTTGACCCAACCCCCTTGATGGCGGGTCCAGAAGTCCGGAAGGCGTGCTGTTCACGGCCGGGTTCCTCGGTTCCTCTCCCCATTGGAATAGCTGTTTTTGTTGCCGCTCACGGCCTCGTAGGGTTTCTCTATATGGAAACAAACGTTAAGCGTTTAAGTGGTGCGCCGAGGCTCGGCGCTGACCACCGAATTGGGTCCCTTTTCGGCACGGAGAACTGGAAGATCCACACGGAAGATCGATCGATGGGATGAAAAACAGTGGAAAGAGAGACGCGGCTTCGATCGAAGATCGGAGATCTACACTCTACACTTCCTGAAAGAAGCGAACATGGCCAACCTCGATGGGAAATGGCCCTGGAGACCCGGATGAAATTCGAAGATCAAACAAGTACTGCTATCCACAAAATTCATAATTTGGCCCATCATGATTTCAGGGAGTGTATCTCGCAAGAACCACCCCAACCTGGAACTCCTGGCCAGATGCTTGAAAAAAAAACATCTTGCCACGGTCCGACCTCCCATCTCTTTCTTTTTGATCATGCAACGTTGTATGGCCAAGATGACCTCAAGATCAAACCATTGTGTTCCAAATGAACGAGAGTCTCGGGCAACTGAACCAGTTCCAAACTCTCTTGGAAACATCCACCCAATCGCAAGCGTTGAAGGCCATGAGGCAAAGTGATTTGCTCCAAACTCTGATCAAACTCGTCACCACAAAGCAAACTCTCAAGGCTACTGGGCAAAGTCACGTGTTGCAAACTCTGGCCAAAGCTGCAGCCAAGTGAGAGAAAGCGCTGGGCCACAACACTCGATCCAAAGGCTAGTTGAATTGGCCACTCAAAGTAAGACTCTCAAGCTTGACTTGTAGATGGACGCCTTCCAAACGCTGATTGAACTCTTCTAGAAAAGCCAAGTCACTCTCCAGGCTTTGCGGCCAAGTCACTCTCTCCAAGATCTGGTTGAAGTCCCATCCAAATTAAAGACTCTCCAGGTTGCAAGGCCAAACCACTCCTTCTAAGCTCTAGTTTAAAGCTCGCACCAAATTTATCACACCCACACAGTTGCATGCACCTAACCTATGCCCATAGGTGGTTATAACTGCATTCTTCAAAAAGAAGACTTTCCTGCACGCAGCGCAAAGCTGCATCACAAAAATACTTTTGCAAAAGAGCAAGCTGCTGGGCAAAGCGACTCGCTCCAATTTCTGATTAAGGCGACCGCCCAAGGCCAAATTCCAAGGGCCCTCGGGCAGAGTTACATCTTCCAGACTCTGGTTGAATTGATTGCCAAAGGTCAGGTTCTGGATGCATCTGGGCAGAACTCTCCCCTCCAAGCTCACATCAAAGTTGCCATCAAACGTCAGGGTCTGGAGACAGCTGGGTCATTGTCTTAGTTGTCTCACTTGATTCAATGAGGACACAACCTTTGAGGGCGAACGACTCAACTGGCAAGCCTTGAATGTACACGCCGCCTTGAATAGCCTAGCAGATTGATATATCATATATATCTTATGACAAGATCGGACAAGCAAGGAGACTCGGCAAGAAACCCTTGGGCAGCAGCCGCATGGGCTCGCCGCCGAGCGACCGGACGTCGTCCCGCTCGCGCAGAGTCGTCCCGGAAAGCAAGGAGTCGTGCTTCTTTCGACCAGGAAAGAGCGATAACTTCCAAATTGCATAGATTCCCAAATTTGGGGGTGCGATGTATTGATCCAAAAGCCTGCAATTCCAAGCAACCTGGCACCCTGACCACAATTCTTCTCCATGCAAGCCGTGAACCTCAATGTCCAGGCCATCATCTTCTTCTACCAAGCCGCTCATGAACACAGGGCTTGTTGGTGAACTATCACAATATAATCTTGGACGAAGTCAGCCAGTCAAAAAGGCAGCGCGATGAACTTTGCATGAGACATGCTCTGAATGTATATTGTGACCTTGCTTGAAGGGTACGCCAGAGTAGTTGACACATTGACCAAAAGGACTGCCGAAGTCAGGTGCACACACCATCGAATCTTAAGTCGGTTTTCCGCTCAGACCGATGGATGGATGAATATGGTGAGTCAGTTGTTCCTAGAACGAGACTCCTTGGCTTAGGACTGTCGCACGGTCAAACCCCTCCCTTTGCCCCAAAACCATGTATACTTTGGCAACCCGAAGAAATTCCAGAGCTTCGTGAACTCATGGGCTCATGTTCAGTGACAAATGTACTTGGGCCCCTGTTCCGTCAAAAGCGCAGCGGTCAAACTGAACTATGGATTTAAGTTGGGTACATGTTTTCAACATGTTTCAACATCATGTGGCATCATGTGGTGGACAATCGAACAACCGGTACCTGCAGTGCAACATCGAACTATAGTTGAACCACTGAAAGACTGTGTGCCGAATAGAAGCTGGTGACCGGTGGTGTTCAGTTGTGTTCAGATTCCGTTGTTTAACTCTTCCTGGTCTTTGGTTAGACAACCTTCCGCGGGGCCTTCCCATCAGAAGACATCTGTTAGAGCGCAAAGTTGTCTCTTGGCAAACCATTTGGCACCCCATCAACAAGAACACACCCTCACACACACAAACCGCAAAACCAAACACCCTGGCCCTAACCCCAAGGAAAAAAACGTTCGAGAAGGCTCTTATACAAATAGGAGCCCCATCACTTGAAAAATAACACGCTAAACTTCAAGAGCCCCTACAAACCCACCATCGCGTCGTTCGGTGTTCTTCGCTGCAGGGCTTCACGCCCATGCTTCTTCGATCCAAAAGAAGGAGCCTAAAAGGGACCAAGCTCTCAAGCAAACACCGCTTCTGCCCTTACCGCAGCCAAAAAAGCAAGAGTGGCGCAAGCACGTTCTCCGAGAGCGGCTCGTTCACCAAAAGCGGCTGTCCTCTTTGTTCTGCTCGGTGACCAAGGTCGTGTGGCCATCGGGCATCAGCCTAGAGCGGCTTGGACTCGAGCTCTACCAACAGAGGTTGAAGAACCCTATAGGCTATCCCAGTTCCGTACGCTGGTTTTCCGGGTCCGTTCGTTCAGGTCGCTGAACCTCTGAGCTCCAAAAAGGCTGGCCAACACACAGAAACTCCGTGGAGCGCCGAGCGCCGCCATGTCCGCTGTCATGAGGGATGTCCGCTGTCGAAGGGGACACATCGAGGGGGTGGGGAGCACCGAAATTGGTACCGAAATCAGTGGTTCACGAACCGGGGGCGTATCCCCTAATCAATCCGTAGTAAAAGGCCCTCAATGCTCCAAACTGCATCTCATGCTGTCCATGTTTGCTTTTTTAGGAATATTGAGAATCCTCACACTGCACGGGACGAGGGTCGGCCTCTCGTCTTAAGGAACAAAGAACCTCTGGCTGGCAGACCTGGGTCCCAAAAGTGTCTGCGCTTGCTTGGTGTTGAACCCTGCCTTTCTTCACCTCCGAAACCAGGAATCACGAACTCCCCCTGTCTATCTCTCTCCACTGCCGTGCCGTCGCTTCCAGACCATCCTTCCTGCCCCGGATCTGCGCCCAAAACACCCCCACGCTCGCGTTCGGCCGCCGTCGAAACCGAACGCTCGTCGGGTTCTGGGCGCGTCCGGCTCCCGGCCATCGGCGCTGGTGAAGGTCAAAGGATCCATACCTCGCGGAGCGAGGCATCAGCGAGGGGCGAAGCGATGCTCGGGCTGGGCGGCCGCAGGTGGGGCGGGGACGCAGGTGGGCGGAGTGAAGGAATTCGATGATGAGAAGTAGCAGGGGAACCCGGGAGAATGAGGAGGAAAGGTGGCCCGTATTTTTGGGGGTCGGAGAAGGGAAAGTGGGGGTGATGGAGATGAGATGATCCAAAGAAGCAACATGTGCAGGAGCGAGATGGAGTAAATCTATAGACAAATGACAAATGACTAATTGTAATGTTTGAAACACCATGGGGGTCCATGTGGGGGTGCCAAGCATCTGCCCAGAAAAGCCACTTTGGAGCTTGATCCCCCGGGTCTTCGGTCCATGTCCGTGGGACTCCTTCGGTCACCGGAAGTTCGGGACTCGTCACGAACTGAAGGAACTGGCATGGAATGCCAGAGGTAGAAGAACCTGGTTAAGCGACCAACAGAGGTTAAGCGACCTGAACGAACGGTTAAGCGACCTGAGGATACCGAACTGGGATAGGCTAGTTAGGGTTCTGACCCACCTCTGTTGGTTCTTTTTTTCATTTGTTGAGACTTTTGAGGGGGTTGGGAATGACCCAAAGGAGGGACACATTTCAACACCACACGCCCTTTCTGTCGCCCTTAGTTTTCCCCCCTCCTGTTTTACTTTGAGTCGGGGTTCACCCATTGTATTTGCTTGGAGCTCCTGTTTATTTGTAATCTACCCTCACCTACTCTCTCGGCATGTTTTACATTCGATGATCCACTAAAGGCATGTTTCTTCCTGTGACTCCAGCTCCTCTCAAGGTTTCATCCCTCAGCCTCAAAAAACACTGCCTGTTGAAGGGGCATTTACTTTTCTATCTATTTGGAGGTCTTTATAGGGCCCATCGGGTGGTCGTCGCCACGTCTCGTCTCTCCAAGTGTCGGAAACTCCACCAACTCCACCCACTCCACTGAGCTACGTGCATGTCACGTATCAGTCAAGCGTGCATTCCCCCAAGCGACGTGCAACCGGGGGGGGATGACATCCCCCCCCGCTGTACATGCGCAAGTCCGATGTGAATGCAGCCAACGGAACCCGTGATGTCTCAACCGGACACAAAGATGAAATCACTTGAGAAATCACATCAAGTTGGTTGATTACATCACTTGTGTCAAGTCCATGTGTATGAAATCAACGCCCTGATGTCTCAACCACCCCTGGCCGATCTGATCGGCAGTCCCACGGAACTCATCGTCAGCTGGGAAGGTGTCGAACGGGTGGCGAACGGCAGACGACGAAGACGACACGGTCGGTCCGACTCCACCGAGAGGCCCCAGTGTTTGAGCGACGTTTGTCTCTCCTGGCACAGCTGAAGGGAAGGGACGATGGGACGATGGGATGCGTGCAGCTTGCGGCAAGAAAAACACGATGAGACGTGAATAACCATGTTTGTTCACCATGTAAAACCCCTCAAAATTGGTTTCGTTGAGACCATCAGGAGGTGATGTTGAGAGAGGCTGGGCGACGAGGCAGCCACGGATCCAGGAAGCCTTTGAGCCCCTTTTGAGCCTGGTCCTCTAGGTCTGGTATAGGCTGTTGGGACGGGGCCAACGGTGGTGCATTGATGACCCACAGTTGGAGCGGCAAGGATGAGAATCTTCCATCCAAAGGCCACTAGTTGTGATTGTTGATGCGGGTTCATGGCCAGCTCATCCATTCAAATCTGCAGCATTCACATGCCTTAACTCAAGTCCAGATGATTTGGCCTCATATTATCCTAGGCCCCCAAAGTATAGATAACACAGTGAAGCTACTGGGGAATTCCATGAGTTGGCTCCAAGTCCATGTCTAGAGCTCCGTTTTCACCTTCTGACAACCTTTCTATTGCCGTATACCATGAAACATGTCCACTGGCGGCACACTGGCGGTTGCTTTGCGCATTCGAGAAGAAGCCCCCCCACTGCATCCCTACTAGAAAGAGGTGTTCTACGCTTCACATCTCTTTTAGATCCTCTGCAAGACCACCAACTCTCAATGCTTTGAAAAAACGTGTCCCACATGACATGCGGTGCTCAAAATCCCCCAGCCTATGCTTCTCTATACCGTTTAATGTTCTAATTACACTGACTATATTATCGTGTTGCGTGTTGCGTACTATGTATAATTATATATACTTATCGTGTTGTGGTGGACGGAGCATTCTTCTGACAAAACGGACATGCCAAGATTACGTTCCAAACAAACAAGCTTTAAATCGTTTTGATACCTTTTCACCGACCTTGTCTGGCCACCATTCACATGCCAACCTTCCTGCCTGGCCTCGCCTCCGAACCCCCCACCCGTCAGGTGGATCGGTCCTCCACACCACCGGGCTTCAGGATCGGCCTCACCTGGATGGGTTCACGTCTCGGCCAGGAAAAGACCAGGAACTGCCATGGACTGCCGAGAAACGGCCAGGGGTGGGTGACTGGGGGTGGTGGGAACGGCATAGAATTCCAGTCCCATGGACCGTCGTGTCGTCGTGCATGGGACGAAGAAGGGGGACGTGGTTCGTCTCACCGTGATTCGTCACTCTCACCTCCGGGCCCCGCATCGTCCGCATCCAAGCGCCATCCACGCGATGGCAGTCCATGGGAGTCCCATCACAGTCCATGGTCTCTTCACTTTTCTGGGGATCTGTTTTCGTAGCGAACGGACCCGGTACGGTGAGGACGGAGACTATTTATGTAAGCCAAGGGAGGGCCCAGTCGTATCTTCTGAGGTTCGGTGGCAGTGGATCCATAGGGACTGGTGACCATTCTATATTTATATGCTCTTTAATCTATGGTCTATAAATATGAATGAACATAAATAAGACATTACCAAAATAATCGTGAAGGAGCCCATCTTTGTTATTCATTTATGTTCTTTAATTCGTAGGCCATATTTCGCAGTCCCATGGCAGTTCCATTCAAGCTCGCCTAAAGCTGGGCTCGACCCGCCTGTCCTCACGACACCGCCTGCCCAGCTGGGCAGGTCACGGCACGAACTCGCCAAACAGGGGCGCCGAGCACGGTGGTTCCAGAAGTCCACATCAAGCCTCAGCAGGAGCCGGAGCCGTGGGGTGCGATCGGAGGTGAGGAAGTCGGGGTGCCCCTGTCACTCACGGTGGACGTTTCACACCACCCCGACATATGCCTCCTGGGAGCGAAACAAGGATAATCCCAAACCGAAGCACATGGTCCGGCCAGGTTCGGCATCGGTGTATACAGTGTATACGGTGTCCTGGTCAAGCGTTGTATCCGTTTTCTTCTGGTAGGCCTAGGATGTCTAGACAGCCTATAGGATGGCCTAGACACGGGACATCATGTGATTCGTCTCATGACTCAGATCATCTCAGATCCACCCAGACGCAACTCAAGGGACTGCCATATGATCAGTCTAGGGGTGCTGTCAGGGGTCAATGGGGCGGCATATATTTCAATCCAATGGATTGTATGGGATATGCATGGATTATATATGCATACTTCTGCTCCGATTAGAGCTCCTCACTTTGCCACCGAAAAAACCGTCCCACTCCACACGGCGAGTCCTGGTGACATGACACCGTCTGGGGCCCCAAGCTGTCGCACATCGCCGGGGCGAAGAGGGACGCCTCGTCGCTCGCGCAACGGGTCCGTTGGAGGTCTCCCTTGGGGAAACAAGATCAGAGTCCGGGCCCCCCCAAAACAAAACCCTAGGGATTCAAGATGATTCAAGTACCTTCTCAGAAGGTGTTTGGGGTGGCTGTGGAGGGTCCAAGTGCCTTCTGAGAAGGTACTTGGATCCCTAGGGAAAGAAAAACACACATGAAAAAAACAGAGCAACCACTGAAAACTGAGAAGGGAGATCAGATGAAGGGAGTTTCATCTTGTCGAATCAATCGCTACGACTGGACCCTTTTTTCTACTGGATGTCTGGCGTGCCAGTTTTCCTGTACCTGGGGTGTCAATCCCTCCAGTCGCGAGTCACACGGGTGCAGAATCTGCAGGGGGCCCGTACAAGTGGTCCCTAGGGATCCAAGTATAGTGCCCAGGTTCGGTACGACTGGACCCTCCTGGAACCTACATGACAGTGTCGAACACATTAGCGTCTGAGGTTCGGTACGAAAACGGATCCCAGAGATGGACTGGATGGACTGGAGACGGACTAGACAAAGGAGTTGGGTCCGCCATCGATGCCGTTGGTCTGACCAGGTGTACTTAACTCCGGTTGAATAAAACACTTGCTGGGCTGGGTAGTTTGACATATGATTGGGGTACATCAATGACGATCAATGTAGGATCTGAAAAACATGCATGGTTGGCACAAAGTGGGGGAAACCATGCAGTTGGTTGCTGTGACTCGTGACTCATGAACGCAGCAATGTGACAATGTGACAGTCTTGACAAATTCTACCTCCAAGGGATTGAAATTCCCCCCCAAGCCCGATCTGGTCTGCGGATGGAAGGACTCTGGCCACCTCAATGCTCAAAGCCGCAGAGCGATGTCTGCTGGTATGCCTCTTCACCTCCACAAGATGGTAGTGACTCAAATAAGAGGACCTAGCGACCCGCCCGTCCGCTCTGAGTTCTCCTTTTTCATTGACCGCCTCTGATTCAGGACCCTCCGGATTGGATTGGGGCTTCTGGCAACCAGGGCCCTCCGAATCCATAATTTATGTTTTAACTTTAACGCACAAATCCCCTTTTGTTTGGGTATTACTTCTCAATACTTTCAGTCTCAACTCTTAAGTGCATTGATCTTATTCAACTATCAACTCCAATTTATGATACTTTAAGTCTTAAGGTCTTAAGTCCATCGATCTTATTCAACTGTGAGCTCCAAAGTGTGTTTTAGTTCTTAATGTTTTAAACCGGCCATATTAAGTCTTAAGTGTTGTTAGTTCTTAGTATTTTTTTTATAAGTCTTAAGTGCATTGAAATGCATTGAATGCCTGAGTGCCTCAACTCCAAAGACACAAGTTACCCTAACCCGCTCTTGAAAGCACCACTTTGGCAAACGCGATGATGTAAAATAATTTGGATGAACAATGTGAGGGTAAACATTTATGTTCTAATATAATCTAATGTATATACCCAGACGCTCATGGACCCTCATATGGAGGGGTCTGGGGTCTCAAATCCTAGGTTTTGAAGGACCAGTCGGGCTGTGAACGGAGCGTCTGGGTTATATAAATGAACCATTTGAACGACCCTGCTGAATGGGGCACCCTTTGCTTGTCCGAACTTTCCACCCTATCATACCCTGTGGGGCTGGGACCCCAACCTCCACGGCGACGCGGCACGAAGACGCCACGAACGCGACGGCCGCGTAGGCGCTTAACGCGGCCCGTGAAGGACGCTACGAAGACGCATTCAGAAGGACTAGACTAATGACGATCATTATCTATGAATCTATGCATAAATACATAATACGTTTAACAAACATGAATGAACAATTAACCAAACGAAAGCCCATCTGAGTGATATATGTCTCTGGTCTCGCCAACGCTTCCGCCCAATAACCATGCTTGACCAGGAGGACGACCGGAGGACATGGACCGGATCGATGTTTGGCTTTCCGCCTAAGATGCACTTGAAGACCAACAGGGAGAGCTGGATCGGACCTGAGGACGTGGAACACCCGGTGCGGAACAAGGAACCGTTTGGTTCGACGGGTGGTGCTTGCTGCGCATCGTTGGGCCAGGCATTGGGGCATGTTTTGTGGCAAAAGCGGTACTTCAACCTGTCAGTTGTCTTCTTGGTTCCTTCGCCAAGCAAAGTCACCTTCCACAAGCACGCTGGAACAGCATGTGCAGCTGAGGATCTGCAGGGTCTTGGGGAAGCACGGAAGGACGCCAACCGGCAGGAAGTCAAGATCGATTCGGCCAGAGCCGACCTCCCTTTCGCCTTCGAAATCGATCCGTGGAACAATCAGGGTTCAACCAACGCGGCAAACCTTCGTCCCAATCCCACCCAATGAAAGGTGATCCATTGACTGTGAAGGGAAATGTCTCACGTCATCTGGTATGCGCGTGGTTTGGTACCTCGATGCACCGTGATGCTGGTTTGGTCCCTGCATTTCGACACCACCTCGATACGCAGGTCTCTCTGGTTTGTGCATGTCCAAGCGGCACGGGCAACGGTAAAGGAAGGCTAAGGCCAAGAGCCTCCCCAAAGCCTTGGTTGCGAAACCGAAGCCAAGACCGAAACCAGATGGAGAACCGACTGCACACGAAACACCGGAGGGTCTAAGAACCGACTTGTCGTTTCTCAAGGACACCTCTTGAGGCCTTTGGTGGGGTCGAGGGTGTCTTCTACGTGAGAACCATGCAACTTAGGTTGCTACGCCCATTGCCAAGTCAGGAAGGCAAAAGGGTCAAAAGGCCCCAAGGCCATCTATTTATTGTCTATACGGGAGTCGGGAGTGTTTGAAAAATGGTGTTCGTCAACCTCAAAAACATATTTGCACAATGAACGCTAGCTGTCACTAGCTCAGCTTCCAAGTGGAACTACTGTTGCACTTTACAACCCACGATTCCTTCATTTAAAGATTTTACTTTTGATTCGGGGCGCCGAAATGAACTGGGGCGCCAAATGAACCCCTTGACAAACCAGAAAATTTGGTTATTTGAAGTCAGTATGAACCCGTTCAACCCAGAAAATTTGTTGCTGAAAAGCACTAATTTACTTGACAGGGCGCCAAATGAAGTCAGTAATTATGAACCCGTTCACAACCCAAAACCAATGTTGCTGAAAAACACTAAGTACTCCACCCAAAAGGCCTCAAGGACCTCAATAATGAGTCTTATATCTTACAAAAAACTTAGAAACTTAAAAACTTGTTGAAACCACCCGGTTGCTGCCGAAAAGTTTGTATCCCACTTGTTGGATGATTTCATTCCTCTTGACCGTTTGTCAGGAAAAGGTCAGTGACAGGCAGTGACAGGTACAACCGCCCAGCTCAAGATTGTTGGATACTCTGAAAGACATTTTTAATAAAGCCTAATACACTTTGTTGCAAAGCTTTATTATAGTCAGTGTCAGGTACCATCATCGATCTCGACATTGAGACTTTCAGCACGGCTGAAAAGCCTTTCAGGCCAAAACTTTTGCTGAAAAGCTGGTGTTATTGTTTGTCCGCAGCTGAAAAGCGCCCAGTCAGTTGAAAACATTTGAAAACCATAAAAACTGAAAAACTATGCCTCTTAAAATAATACCATTTATTCATTCATTCAAATTTCATGAATGATGTCATTTTCTGAAAGCTGAAAAGCTATGACTCCCTCAAACTAATACTTAGTGCTTTTCAGCAACAAATTTTCTGGGTTGAACGGGTTCATACTGACTTCATTTGGCGCCCCTGCAAAAACTTAATCGTGCTTTTCAACAACACATTTTCTGGGTTGAACGGGTTCATACTGACTTCAATTAACCAAATTTTCTGGTTTGTCAAGGGGTTCATTTGGCGCCCCAGTTCATTTCGGCGCCCCGAATCAAAGGTAATTGTTTTATTGGACATTCACCCCACTGGAACGTTGGTTGGAAGCCAACCCGCATACAAAAATCATAAGGGGACCAAAACAACTGAATCCCCAGTTCGTGTCGAACGGAGAAAACATGCATGCATTATCTTTGCCAGAAACCATCTCCGTGACTTGCCAAAATATCCAACATCAATTTTGCCGCACTGGGAGGATCAAGTCATTGGGCACGTGACTTCTGCCGTTGATTCCCCGGCTTGACTGCAAAACCCGCTGGGGTCTTGTCCTTGTGGAGTGAAGTTTGGCATTTACCCACCGCTTCATCATCGACAAATTTGGATGACATTGATGCCCTCATGTGTTTCCCTTGGAACACAGGCTCACGGTACCTTTTGTATGTTTGTGAAAATCATTCAAAACTCAAAACTCACTGCAACTGTTGTTTCCTAAGCGTGCAACACAACCAATACTAAATACGATAATCCCCCGTACCTCGCAAATGTAGCACAACCGCGCTTGTCCGCTCCCCCCCCAACCTCCGGATCCAAAACTGAACTCGTGGGTTCCGAGTGCGACATTCTCTATAAACCCTGGCATTTCGGTTCAATAAGGCGCCTACAAGTACAAAGAGATACAAACAGCGGTGCCGGACCTCAAGTCCGTCATTCATTGATGGGCAACCTGAAACACACGAGGAAACTTACTCACTCAGCGCCGAAGGAAGGGAAAACGTTTCGACAAAACAAGTGTTCGATGTTTAGATTGTTCTTTATAAGGACACCAATTTAAAAGAACGCGTTCCTTCGTGGGCTTTGACAGGGTATCTCACACATTATCAGGACCACGCCCCTTTGACGAACAACATCAACCACATACCCCACATTCAAAAAGACTGCCCATCGTCTTCAGGAGGGGTCTGTAATTGGGCCACAGCAACTCATACAGAATTGAAGCAAGGGTTCTTGACCGCCCCCCCCCACAGGTCAACTAAGTCTTGCTGTGAACTGAAAGTGGCGACGCTGAAACTCAACTTGCTGCGAGTAAGCCAATAAGATGCTTTGCTGGTCTCGCTTATTAAACACTTGGCTCCGCATGTGTTTGTTGATGGCTCGTGCTTTTCTAGTCTTCCGGCAACACGGTGTCTAGGAGGCTTTGGTTGATCATGCCAATGTTCTGAGGCTGTTTATTGTTTTGGCATGTGGCGCATGCTCCCTTCAGCACGCCTGACATCTCACAGCTTCCTCTTTTGAATGATCGAAGCTCTAATCATTGGAAGGACCTATCTGAAAGCATTGCCCTGAGAGTAATAAGTCCCAGGCAAGCACATCCGCACAACGAAGCAACGAAGGCGATGACGCTCTTGTCTTTGGTTGTTTATGTCCGCTTTCTCCAGCTTGCCCTGTGACACTAAAAGAACTGGGACTCCACAAACATTTGTGAGGGTGTGCTGAGTCAGGGTACCGACTGGCATCTCCACTTCTGTGGCTACATTGATTTGATTCAGCCTCGTTCTTCCTCGCAGCGCTCACGGCGCCCAGATTGAGAGCCTTTCAGTGCTGACCCGACCCGGAGTCCAACCCAGCTGACACATCATGGGTTTTCCGGATTTTCAGGAAGAACAACGACCGCAGCACCAGCTGAGGGAGCTTGTAGGCGGCATCCGTGTTTTCCATCGAGGTCGCGATGTTGAAATCGAGCTACTTGACCAGCCACACCCACAGCCAGGGTGGTTTTTTGGGGGAGGACCTCCCGGATGATCTCTAAGTCTCTCAAGGCGAGACACGGTCGACGGACCAACGGTGGAGCGCGACACGAGCGAAGATACTCCGAACGTGCGGGTTTACGCGTGGGTTTTTGCGTGGGGAAGCCCCGAAATACCTTGGTAGACCCTGAAGGTGAAGTTAGGTTGTAGCTGGGACAGGATCTTAGCATTTGGTCCATCTTCGCAGTGCCTTCCCCGAAACGCAGCTCATTCTGTCTCCACGTCCGATTGTCTTCCCGCCCACAACCGCTCGCGGAGGGTGCAAGGAACCCAGAGATAGCCTCGCTCGTCCTGGCGATGGGAACAATGGGATCCACCATGCCTCACCCAACATAGGACCCTACTGGGGTACCTATGGGATAGTCTATGGGGTCATTCAACCTCTGTTGGTATGAATGAACACATCCTTTCTTCTCATTCTTCTCCAAGAAACATCGGGTCTTTTGGGGTATTTTGTTGGTCAGTTCATGGCCACGGGTCCGCGTAAAAAACGGTCGGTTGCGCTCGGAAAAACACATGAAAAAAGGGGTGCAAGATGGTGCAAGGGTTCTGTATCTTGCATCCACCTATGCAGAACAAGTCATGGATCATTTCGTTTTCGCTTGGCTTCTCCCTCGAGACTCGAAGCTTGGATCAGAGTGAATCGGTCGGATTTCGGGTTTTACAACAACTTGCTAAGCATTCAGCCAGTTTATTTGTATAATCCCAAACACTCCATGGGACTGGTGTATTTACCGATCAATTGGGGTGGTGCCAAAGGGGTCAATGGGGCGGCATATATGACAAACATGGAGTGTCTGGGAATCTTGGAAGTGGATGGCATGGCCCCTGGGAAGACAATGTTCCTCTACAAACAGGGGGTGACCTCCACTAAACCATGTTTGTTGGGAGGGCAAAGACCCAAATCTCTCTCCAAGCCTCCACAATGAGGTTTCTCTAAGCTTATGGCAGCCTTGATTCTTTTGCACACCCTGTTTTTTCCTTATTGTTGTATATGTTCTTTTCCAAAAGCAGCCATCTCAACCAAAGATCCTGGAACTTTGCCTTGGAACGTGACTACTCCAGTTTCAATGCCGCTTAGGCCATGGCACAGCCTTGCACAAATAGCTGTCACGCTCCACATGTCATGTCTATTCCAAGCCCCGAACGACATGGGCACGAGGGGTTTCGCAAGTAAGTAGCAATGAAGTGTTTTAGCTGTAAGCCCTGCAAGGGACCCACATGGAACCTGCAAACCACGTCGGGTTGGTCTTCGGAACATCGTCTTCCGAAGGCCCATTTTCAGGTTCCACGTGAGTCTCTTCCGGCGTGTCACCAGTGGTGATTTCTGGAAGACCAACAGCGTGGCCAAAGTAAACCTGAACGAAGACCACGTGGCAGGTGGAGAAGTTGAGGTCCAAATCGGAGGTGTTTTGGGATCATGTTGGATCCGAAGTGGAAGATATTCCCCCAACCCCCGAATCCACATGTTGTTTGATGATCCAAGAAGCATCCGACGGGTCATGTGAGGAAAAACAACACTTGACATCGACGGGAATCAACATGAGAAAAAGACCCGACCGTGGGGGAATGACCAACTCCTCTTGGGTCTGCAAAGGTGGGACGGACCCGTTTTCAAGGTCATTCAAATAGTCATCGAAGAACGCCCGGCAAATTCATGTGAATTCTGCACACTCGAAATCGAAACGGAATCGGATGGAATGGGAAGACCATCATCCTAACAAACAGGTGCTGTGTCCTCGCTAGTCCACGTCTTCCATGTCTTTGTTTTCATTTGTCGTTCGTCTTCACACATCCATCGCTGCTTGGATACAATCCAAGCGCCGAACAATGACGATCGGAGGTCGTACGGAGCCAGTCGACCGCGGTACGGCGCCTCATCACAGGCCAAAGGCCGCCAGGTGCTATCCGCACCTAAACCTGTCAACGCGGGGGTTACACGAAGGGCTTAGGTCGAGAGGCGATTTGGTGGAGGGTATACGGGTGCCCATGGTCCAATCACATAATATGAGCCAGCGTCTATATAAATTATGGGTTTGGGCTGTATATGGCTGCATTCAAATTAGGGCATCCCCTATCGCTATTCTTTTTTTTCAGGTTTCGACACTTTATGACACTTCGGGGTGGGTATTGTTTTGCTTTGTTTCGGGGTATCGTTTAACACACTTGCCCAGATCCTGCTGTTTGCTTGACCATCTTCTACGTCACACCCTTGGAGCTTCCTCAAGCCTTTCTGCACAAGATAGTCCACATATGCTCTCCATGGACCATCATGGTGAGCCAGTCGTTCATGCCTTCAACCAGCAACCAAATGTGTTTGGTGTCGTCTCCATGTGAAGTCGGTCGCTTCTTGACCAAACACCGGGAACCGGTGATGTGAACACCCTGCACTACATGATCCGTTCTGGGTCACCGGGCGAACGACTATACGCACTACAGATGGACTTCCAAACAGGACTCTCATTGGATAATCCTGGTATTCCATGAGGTGATGTTCGATCACTTACGTCGTTTCTGTTCACCACGAGAACCGAGCCGCGACTCCGCGACTGTCACATTTTACCGCAGGTGGACAATCTCCCGAACCGGTCAGTCCATGTAAAGCTCTAAAGGCTCACTGAACTGGATCACCTGTCCCAGACACGACCTGTCTGGGACTGCCAGTCCGGACTGCCGCCCAGACCGACCCCTTTGGCACCACACCTGGCCGTTTTGAAGGCAGTCCCGCAGTCCCAGACAGGTCGTGTATGGTCATGTTGTGATATGTTGTGTTGGATTGGAGTGGGGTGTCAGCGTGTCCCAGATTTGACTGGGGCAACCCCAACCCCCCCCACAGTCGTCCAGAAGGTCATCCAAAAGGTCGTCCACCTGTCCTGGGTGAGGACTCTCTTGAGCAAAACTTGGTACTGATGCGCCGGTTTTTGCTGCCAAACAGCGATATCTCCAGGTTCGAACCCACTTCGTAGATCGACTTGAACCAAAGCGTCCAGCGTCGCATCGCTCCGCCTAAGAGGTTCAAGGGCTCCACCAGCGACAAAGGCGAGCCACCCTGGTGCCGGGAGGTCCACTCGCGGTGGCCTTGTGGAAGGTATGTATAGACCCCCTGGAATCATGATGGTTACGTGGAATGAACACCACCTGTTGCTTAGAGGAACATATTCTTCCGCAATCGGGGACCATTTGGATCTGTTTTTTTTCGAGTCACTAGCATGGAGGTGGAGTTCACCAACTGTTTATGTTCAGACTTCATGGCCATCCAAATCCAGGCCATGCCATCCACTTCGAACAATGATTCCAGGGAGTGTAGATGATGAGAACCGAATTCCAGAAGACTGAGCCACCCAAGAATGATGACAGGCAAATGCCAGCACCACCCACCAGGTATTTTCCATCTAAACAAATACGCGAACTGGGTGGCGCTGGTGTTGCTCTTCTGGTTTCTGCATGTGTTCATTTGGATTTGATCCAACAAAAGCAGGTTCATGGTTTGGGAGGTTTTTGGTAGCCTGAAAGTAAGGAGCCACAGCATCTTAGGCGCCCAGCTTCAGTTTGCAAGTTCTTTTCAAGTTCGATGACTTACCCCAGACCATCCAAAAAATGGAATAGTTATAGTTACTGTCAATGAATTGGTTTAAGGGAACATCTACAGGAGACCCAGAGTTTAGGGGGAGACAGCCATGTTTACCTGTAGACTTTCCCTTAAACCCATTCATTGATACTTACAGCAGAGCTGTCATACATGTGGTGCATTTATTTATGTATTATTCCATCATGGACGGTCTGGGTACTACCGTGGTAACACATGGCCAGGCTTCTTCTGCGTATCAACCATTCCGCAGGGTGTCCACTGCTTGGTAGAGATCTGCTCATGAGCTAGAAGCTAGAACATCTTATCCTTAGGGATCCAAGTACCTTCTCAGAAGGTGATTGGAGACACAGTAGTGTAGGTTTGGAGGGTCCAAGTACCTTCTGAGAAGGACGACTGGATCCCTAGGGCTATGACACCCAATTCCACAAGGAGTTCCCATCGGTTGATTCTGAAAGGCTAGGGGTGCCAGTCATCCACGTTCTTGGGGGGCTCAAAATCACTCCTTGGCAATCCACTGCTAGGTCGTCAAACTCCCTCAAACCAACTCAGCCTACTGAAAAAAAGAAGCAAGTGCCCACTACAATATAATATATGAACATAAATGAACACTTCAAAACACCTCCCACAACATGCATGGCCTCCTTTTAACATCTGATCAGACTGGATTTATATATGTATGATGCGATCATCACCTCATTCATGTTGAAACGAAATCTAGGATAATACTGAATCCCGAATCGAAACATAATTCCTCCCGACGAAAATGCTATTGGTAAGCCCTCTCTGGGAGCCAGAAATTATGAGTTTCTTAAAACAAAAACAACAAGATACACGGCATATGATACACATTCTCAAATCATGATGGAAGTGGAGCTCGCCACCTGTTTGTTATTTGGATTTCATGGTCATCCAAGTCTTCAGGGCCCGTTCTCGTCGCGTGTTGACCGTCCACCTGCTGGTTACGGTCCAACTCGATCAACCGCTTTCTCGCTTTTCCGCCCCTCCGTGTCGTCGTCCGGTTCGACCTCCTCCTTGGTCAAAGCTTCCGCGAAGCAATCCATAAACTCCTTGCCTTACCGACCACGAGATGACGATCGCGATCGTGTCTGGTGTGTAAGAAAAAGAGCTTTGAAGCGAAAATGGGCTTCCCCCTGGCATGTTTTTGTTCATCTTAGTGTCACCCTGGTCTCCAACTACATCCTGAGAAGATGGCTATGGTGGGTGCCAGGGGGGTCTCACCACCGAACCTGAGGATCTGGGGCGTTCGGAGCCCACACAGGTGGGCTCCAAACGATGACAGGTTTGTGCTGGGTGCGACGCCCAAGTCTCTACCTGCAGGTGTCTCAGGTTTCAGTTCATCCAAGGGGGATTTCATTCTCCAACATTCATCAAACAGACTATCCCAATTTGAACCACCTGCAGCCTCTTCCAGCCACCTGCCACCTGCCATCAGCCACCTGCCACCGGTCGTGCCACCATGTCGAGCGACAACCGGAGACCGGGTCGACCGGCACTCAGGTGCGACAAACACAACATCCATGGGACTGGTGCTATTGACATCTGCTAGCTTTGGGGTGCTTTGGGAGGATGGTCCATGTGTTTTTAGGCCAGTCCCATTACACTCCGACTTCACTAACATGGAAGTGGACAACCTCCTGTTTGTAAAGCAAAGTAGTCTTCTAAGGGGTCATGCCATCCACGTAACCATGTGATGTGTTCGTCAGAGTGTAGTCGTGTATGGGGATGGCTTCACCCTCGACTTCGACTTCATCGTCCCTGAGCGTCCCCGGCGCACGCCACCCATATCCACCGCATCCTCACCCATGAACTGGACCCCTGGCGGTGGCAGCAAAGGCCGATGCTGGCCCTCCCTGATGCAGTCTAGGACAGGTCTTTTCTCGAACCAGAGAGACTAATCGCAGAACCAGTCAGCGATGGTGGACGCTACGGAATCGAGAAATTCCAGCATTGTGAGTCAGACGTTCTGAGCAGTTTGATATCCTCCTTTCTTACCCTTCGGCTGACCTGTTCACAAGGTTCTGAAGGCATTGAACACTAGCTACTTGTAGTAGTTCTGACGAAAGTTTCTTAACTGCAACTGTTGGTTCTTCACCCCAGCCCCTGGATCATTGGTAGATGTTACCACCAGAAGTATGAGAACTACCCAGATGACTTCGCTGTTCGTCACCAAAACCACGCCGGCGTACGAAGGCCCAGCATATTGGTGAGCTCTGTCTCCTGCGCGTCCGAAAGCCCGGAAGGGGTGTTGTCGTTCAACACCTTCGTGGTGTGCAACCAGGGAGACCCTCCAAACCCTAGGACATGAAGGGACAACTGGATGTGTAAACTGACATCCAGTGTAAACCCTAGGGATCCGTTTTCGTACCGAACCTCCTCAGGTTCGGTACGAAAACGGACCCGACGTTTTGGCACCTCCATGACAGTGTCGAACACATCACCGTACCTGAGGTTCGGTACGAAAACGGATCCCTAGGGATTCAAATAGGGGAGACCTCCGACCTCCAACCCCCTGAGGGGGTCTTTAATCCCGTGACTGGGCTCCTGGCCCACCTCCGTTTGGAAGGCCAGGGGTGGGTGCCAGGGGGGTCTAACCACCGAACCTGAGGAGATGGTTGGATCCATAGGGAAGATACACATCACAGAGTGTATCTTCACCAACACATCACCACGTCGCTCCATCTTCTCGCTTCTCGCTCCGTCCGCCGTGACATGGGGGCAGCCACCGACGTCACCGTGACCGGCAAACCCCGTCGTGCGCCCGTCGTGTCTGAAGCCGCGTCGAGACAGTACGAGGTCCATCGCAAGACCGATCAAAGCCTGGTCCCTGGTCCCACATCCTACAGATTCAGGTCTCAGCATGGGAGGGTGCTGGTGTGTGTATATACATATATTATATATATATACTAGCGTCTGATGAGTATGGATCTGTGCTTCTCATGAATTGCCTGGGTTAAGTCTTTGCACATGTGATTTTCAAGCTTTACCATAGAAAGGACTTGCGCAACTCCATGAGCACCGTGCATCATAGGAAAAACATTGACACAGCAAACCTGAATTTCACTATCGTTGTTTCATAATCGGCATTGTGTTTCGCCAACTCCTTTTTCATCTGGCTTGTTTACAAACTTCTAGCATGCAAACTCCTCAACTCCTAGCTTTGTAAGACTTCATAAGTTTGCATTGATGCTGCTCATTCATGTCCATGTTTGCAGGGTTTTGCAACGTGAGCTAAGACTTGTGAAACATGTTTCAAAAAGCCCCAAGCACATGAGAAGGGATTTGTAAAAATCAGCACGATGTTCCACAATAGTCCTTTGTCACTAGACGATAGCATATATATATATATACAACTATACGATATTGTATTGATAAATATGCTACTTGCAAGTGTCCCTCATCTAATTGGTTCTTCCCCCGAGGAAGAAACCGGTCCCCGGTCCCCGGTCTCCTGTAGCCCAGGGAAGTGCAAAGCAGTGATGCCCAGCAACAGGTCATCAACCTCATCGCACCGCAGCTTCTTTCAACGGACCGCTTTCGGCTTCAGGACGTGAACCACCGGTAGCGCGTTGGCGCAAAAAAGAAGACGCTATACGCCTGGGTTCATGTAGACTGTAGACTCTTGGTTGTATCACGTTGTATCTCAACCACCCATGAAGAGTCTTAAGTTCACTGGCACAAGAGATAAGTTCATGTCTTGTTGTCCATAGACTCTCATCACGTTGTATCCCGTAGTCTCTAGACCAATGATGAAGAGGCTTAAGTTCACTGGCACATGAAGGACTTTGCCGGACCAAACCATCGCGACGGAAAGGCGGACCAGCCTCGCAGTACCGGTCGACTGGACCCGGTGCCCTGTGCTGGTGAAAAAAGGAAAGGAACACACAAATCCACCCGTGGACCTGCAACCAGCGGTGGAATGGCTAAAGTTCACAAGTTGTCAGCTCATGGTTGACCCATGAGAGGTGGTTTCACCGGCGGTCTAGAACCGTCGACCCTCACATTTCTTATGTCTCGTGTCGCTCGTCTTCCAATGTCTTCCCCAGCGGGGGGAGCTGAAGTGTTCTCTTGTTCTTGGCGTCAAACCACTCCGAAGCGTTCTGCTCGGAATGTGTGAGTCTGGCAGGAAGTAGGTTCGAGATGGTTCGAGTCAGTCACCCAAAGGCTCAGAGTTTGGACCCCATCAAGCCTCGGATTTGGACACTCACAAGCCTCGGGTCAAATGGACCCCATCAACATCTAGCACCTGTAGCAGTTGGTTCGGGTTGAGGGTCGCATCTAGGTAGAGTAAAACCTGCGAAACCATTGGGGCCCAGTGGCTGAACCCCTGAGAAGCCAGTCCGTTCAGCGTCCACAAACTTATAGCTATATATGATGAAAGAGAGGTCTCACAACAAGATATCTCATCTGCAAGAAATCAGCAACATTCAGAAACATGTGTTCTAGAACCCTGGACCTCCAACAAATATAGAAACGGACAACCCTTATTGTATATGTTGTACATGTTTGTACAGAAACACGATCTTTCCAGGGTCCATTTTCCACTTCCATGATTGTTGGAGGGATGGTTCACGATGTATGTTCTTTTTTTTGCCGATGATCCTGAAGTTCCATGACAGTCGGGGTTGATTGGTTTGGTACCATTTACCGAACTTGCTGGTGCACCAGTTGGGGGTGTCCTCGAAGATTCATCAACCAGTATAGTATAAAGGCCATCTACCAGGAGTCATTTCTAGGGGCGGTTTTGAGTCGGTGAATGGATGATCTGGGCACTTCCGACTGGATAGCACCACGTCGAACGTGACTGCGAAAGAAGACATACATGATTTAAACATTAAAAAAACACATCCACACATTTAAACATGAAGAAAACCACATTCTTACCACCCATTCTACAGATTTTGAATCATGCTTTGTAAGCAAAACCAGAGACCGACGTCACGAACGCACCGTCATGACACTGAAGCGTCCGACTGTCTGGGTCGCCCCCACCGAACGCTCCGCAATTTGCGTGAGCGCGGAACGGACCATGTCGTTGCCTCGGTTTCGACCAAATCCGTGCCAAGTCTTTCGACAAAGACGGAGAATCGCCGTCCACCAAAGCAAATCACGTATACTGTAGATACACAGATCGACTCGCAGGGCCTGGCCTGGAGGCAACCTGCTTTCAGTTGATTCTCAGGACGGCACGACGCACGGTCACCGGCGCGGTGGCGGAGTCGAAGACTTGGACCCTCAGCCGACGACTTGGACCCGCCGCCGTTTTGGAGAAGCGCGGGGGTACCGGGAGCCCGAAGGAAGATGGAGGAAGATGGTGAAGGTTTAGGACTTGGAGACCATAGAAATGCATGATATATGCATGATATATAATATATATAATATATCATGATATCTCATCATATGTCTCTCTCTATAATATTTATATTAAATAAACGATATAAATGTTCAAAAGACTGGAATGGTCAAAGAAAGAGACACCTAGCTGACTTCATAGCAAAATAAAGTTCTGAGTCCAAAGTTGTGTGCATATCCAGAGCACCACCTCCCACTTAAAGGCTGGAACAAACTTCTTGCACCAGTTTCATTCAAGTTAATGTTATTGCATCACGTCCAAGCAAAACTTGCAAACAAGGAAAACCAAACCAAACTCTGGTGAACTTCCGTCCATCTGACGATGCTCGGCAAAATCGCTCTACCCAGGCAAAATCGCTCTCTGATGTGAGGGATTGGACCCTCATATGGAACCCTAGGTTTTGAGGGATTCGGGGCTGTTGGGCGCATCCAATTCTCTCCCAACCATGTCGAACTACAATAGGAGTATGGTGGCCCACCCGGGGGGGCCTCAATTACTCTGCAAAGCAAAAACACCCTTCACAACACCCTTGGTCGCCCGACCTCTGGCGGACTAAGCTCTACTAAACATCCATTGCGGGGGGGGGGGGTTGAAAAGCGCCGAAGCACCGCTGGGGTTGGGTTTTTGGATGTAGGATATGTAGACCCCTTCTACTTCAGACGGCGGGTAAGGAAGGGTCAGATCATGAAGCACAACAATTAAGCACATACGTACATCATTCAATGAATGTTTTGTCTTAATCATGAAAGAAAACTATATCACTCAGCAATCATCATAACATAACAGTTCAAAAACCTAATTTCGAACACCCAACCAATCATTCAACCAACCAAAAAGCCAGCCAACCTTTTTACTTAAATCACTCTAGCATTTGGATATTTAGTTAAATGAATTGTTCCTGTGGACTCTTCAGCGTCGCTTATCTCTTAAGAGTGTCAGTCATATTTAATTTCAGGACCTTTTGTATCGGCACCTATCGTTTCTACCGGCGCCTTTCCTAGTTCGCATGGTCCGAATCATCCTTGAGCGATGCCCAATGAGAATCCTGTAAACTGAGCCACCCTAAACCCGGGGTCGACATGGGTAGGAGCCCTTCCCAAACAATCCATGTACTCATTGGGATCATGAATGGGGTATCTGGTATATATGTCCAGGAGCTCCTAGTAGCGTCCTTGCACCTAGTAGCGATGCCCTTTGCCCCGTTCGTAGCTTCTTGCTCCTAGTAAGGCCAGGAGCCCCAGTTCGTAGCGTCCTTATGCAATGATTTCATCTGTGGGTGGTCTGGACTCGTCACGACGGCGTCCCAAACCGTCCACGCTCGGCTTCCGCACACGCATTGCTCGTTCACTGTGCCGTCCTCCTGGAGGAAGCGGAGTGGCGCAGTTCGGGGCCAAACGTGAGATGTGAAAGAATCAACATGACCCCCCTAAAAAGAGTCGAGGTTGTGGTAGAGTGTCTTAGATTTTGAGATATTTTACGCACTCTGCACAGTCTTTTCCTTCTATATAGGCTGTCGCTGTTTCAAGGCCTTGCCTTAGGGGTGGAAATGACTCACAGCCCCATCAGCAAGTCCTTCGCTGGACAAACACCCGCTCCGGAGCATGTGATTTGAGGTCCCAGCACTGTCTGTGCCATTTGTCTACCCATCATTCTTCCCCACGGGCCTAGTCAGGTGGTGACAAAGGATGAAACCGGATCTGGGAGCAGCTTTTGCGGGCTTGAAGTTAAGCTAGAGCTGGTTAAATCCAGTGAACTCCCCCTCATACCTAGATCTTCAGTCCGGCACTTTTACAGGGTCCGGCGCCGGACTTCCAACTCCGGCGTTTTTCTGGATTTGGTCCGGCGGTTTTTCCAAGTCACTTGAAATGTGGATTCTCAAGTCTTTGCATTCTTTGTGGCTTGCATTTCTTTGAAGGTAATGATTTGCTTGCAAAGTGTGCTCATTTGCCTGTTCCGCTGTTTTCTCATTCCACCGGTTCCAGCATGGTTCACACTGGATCAATCAGATCCGTTTAGGTGATCTTCTAAGTGAAATCGGATGAAATTGGTACAGTGCGATGCACGTGTTGAAAGACCCAAGTGGGAGTACCTAAGCTGAAAAAACATAGGCAAAGATGTACTCCCATTGTTTCAGGATGTCGGGGCGCTTGGATATAATTAGTTCTAGTTGCGCAGGTTTGCAGAGCCTGCCGGACAAGTTTTGGGCTGTGGAACATGTGTTGTTCAGAATCTCAATGTTTTGCAGAGAGTTGCTAAGAAAAATTGCACGTCGTAACTCCGGCGTTTTTTCCCGTAACTCCGGCGTAATTTCCCGTAACTCCGGCGTAATTTCCCGTAACTCCGGCGTATTTTGTTGGACTCAGTCTTTTGAATTTTGAAAAGTTTTTCAACTAAGAGTTTCGACAGGAACCATGAGTGCTGCTACTTTATTGGCGGGGCCGTCCTGAGGCAAGCAATAAAAAACAATTTAAAACCATATAAGAATCATGGAGAGCCACTTTGTAAAAAACAATTAGAGACACGGGTGCAGAGAAATAGGGGTTCCTTGCCACATACTCCTTGGTTTCTTCTTGGAAGTCTTTGCTTGGGCACAAGTTTGCTTATATTTTGTGATGGTTCTGCTCTTAGGCCATTCGGAAGATGGGCGAGGGCAATGGGAACGGGAAGGCTCCAGTGCTGGGTTGTGGAATGAGTGTGTTCCAGAAAAAACTACTTGTGGCGCAAAGGCAGTTTGCTTGTGTATGATCCAGCCTTTTATCATCTCTGTTTTTCAGAATCTTGGATCCGGATGTTTTTTTAGGTCTCCGGCGTTTTTTTTCGGAATCCGGCGGAAAAATTTGCCGGATTGAGGTCCGGCACTTTTTCCCGCCCAAAGGAGGATCCAGGTATCTCATCTAACATCTGAATAAAACACCGCGGCTTTGTGGCACATGTGGCACATGGTGGTGACCGTTTTGGTGTGAGAGGTTGACCCCAAAGACTGCATCATGAATAGACTGGGACTGCGCGTCCATGGTGAAAAACAGTCAAACCGGACGGATGAGTTCCGGTCGTCCAGCGGCCGGTGAGACCCTCCAGTCGTCCAGCCTCTTGAAGGAGCGCTTTCAAATCCTCGCGCCCACGGTGCGAGCGGTCGGGTCGTTGTTGGTGGGTGGATGAATCCTATCACTTGGATGGAGAAAAAAGGAGCTCCATATCAATGTGTTGTTGTTATAGCAATCGACAATCATCAACAAATACTGTATCAAGAATTAACATGTTAGCCCGTTAGCCCATGAAATTCATCTTCATCAAGTCTTGGGCCAGCCCTTTGGGCCGCGCAGGCCCAATTGGATGGATGGATCGGGTCTCCAACTCAGAACCCTTACCCAAACCATCCATGTTACATGGCATCTTTCTACACTGTATCTGTATATATACCTACATTGGGGTACTTGAAAGGGGGTATGAATTCAAAACTGCTATACATGAAGTGTCCAACTACAAAAGGATACTGTCAAGTTGAGTAGTAGGTGGGTGTTCTGGCACCATCAGTTCTTGTTGAAACAGTGTGAAACAAAGCACACTGGACTGTCCACATGCCGGACTTCTGGCCCAAACGTTGAGGTGCTCCTCCTGTGTTTGGTGCTCAGTCCCTACCCTCTTCGGATGTCTGACCTTTGAGCCCGACAAATCCCCGAACTGGTTGAAGGAAAGAAAGAGCATGAAGAACTACAGGAAACCCCTAGTTTTGGAGTTCAAACCCATTGGGTGTCCTGAGTCCTGTCACCTTCAACATCCTTCAACATCCTTCTGAGAGAACAGGTTGAACGAACGGCATCACTCCTCACCCCGGCGTGCCGCCAATTGCAGCAGCAATTCGTCCAATTGGTCTTGGGCCTCAGTGGTCCGTGCTGAGCGGCAACCACTTGGCCTCTGGCTGGGGGTTGCTATCCATGATCATACGAGAATAGGAACCCCTAGCCATGGTCAACATGGTCTATAGCACTGGCAAACCCCCAGCTAGAGAATAGGAGACCCCGTTGCCTCATGGTCTAGAGCATGTTATACCATAGGATGTCCTGTTTGGTTTTGTGGTACAGCATGGTATAGACCCATCATCGGGGAGATGGCAAAGTTGTTGCCCCTGCGAGGGGGCGATGCCAGGTACCGCATATCGGTTGCTTCACAACAGGTGGTATCCTCTCTATTAATCAAGCAAGGGCGTAGGTCAGGCCGTTGCTAACCAAACTGTCCACCGTCCACCACTTGGATTGATCAAGGGTTCCCCAATCCACAGCCAAAAGGTGATTCACTCCTCCAGGGCCACACTTCCAAACACTCATTTCCTGCCCCCCATGTCATCTGGGTCCAACTCCTACCTCTTCAGAAACCAAACACAAAAATTGAATGCGATATAATCGCGTTGCATTCGCTTTGCATGTGGAAGGTGCACACCCACGTCTGGCTCGGGGCAAGCCAGTCCCATCACGTCCATTCTCACGACTGCCTAACAATCCTAACAAACATGGGAATCACCTGGAACCAAAGCACTTAGGTCATAGAGCTCCTTAAGGCTGGCCCACTGACCCACTGGCCCGGAGTCGAAGGTGGGGGCCGACCCCCCTGGCACCCACCCCAACCATCTTTCCCTGACTTCGGATGTGGCCCAGGAGCCGAAACTTGCGCCTGTTGAAAAAGGTGATCGACTGATGGGGTAGGTCCGACCGAGGGAACCGAACCATATCAACACTTAGAGGTTCCTCAACCTCCGCACGGCGCGCGCATGCGTTGAACGTTGTCCGCGTCGTCGTCTGGGCTCCCGACAGCATCCCAACCTGAGCACTGGCACTGGGCAAAGGCCACAGTCTCCAACGAGGCCAAGAAGCTCAACCAAGCATTCCCTTCAAAAGTGTCCTGATTCCACCTTCCATCCCAACTCAACGCTTTTTCGTGCGATTCCATCAGCCCATCTGTCCTCCCCTCCCCCCAAAAACATCATGACGAACACCCAGCTCGAGCCGTTGTCCTCCCTTCCCGGCGGCGGCGACCACCGGGCGCCCCGGACCGGAGCACGGCGGCTCTGCCAGCGCTTCGCGCATGGGCAGTTGCAGCCGTCGCAGGAGCCTCGGAGGGTGTCCGGTGGCCCTCCCACACCTTATTGAGGGGGTCTCTATACCAGGCACCCCTAACTCTAAGGGATGTGATGTCTAAAACAAATAAATAGCCCCCTACAGTACTATAATATGTATATATGTGTATGGTGAATGGGGGTCTCCATTATCCATTCCTTAGCTACCTTCACCGCCACAGCACCGTCCGCTGAGCTCATCGCTGGTGTGTGCCTCGAATCGCTCGGACCTGGCGCGGCGGCAAGGCGCGGCGGCTTGGCGCCGGTCGGATGGATCTGGGTTTTGGGAAGAACATCAATGTTCACCCTTATGTAGCAGAAGGGTTTCCAATGGTTTGCACATGTCCTAATTTTGCATCCTATGTTTATCAATTTTCAAGAACGCAGCCGGTGTCCTGATGCGTTCCTTTCTCTCTTATTGTTTTGCTGGTACTCAAAGTTGCATCCCCTTCCCCACGCCATAAGTTTCAAGAAAGACTGGTGGACTTCCTCCTGAGATCCTGCTTCCGCAGCCCAAAACTCATGCGGAAAAAAACGCGTTGCATCGCGTACCCTCCACCAGAGAGAGGAGATCTCCATGCTGGCAAAGAACTCATGGGCACCTCGGTCGCGTCACGTCCTTCCGGCGCTCTTTCGTCACGTCCTCCCTGCGCTGCAAACCACGACTGGTTTCAACGATTGGATCACCGACCAGCTCGCCGCAAAGGGTACCTTCATTGGATTCAAACAGATCACCATGAATGAGTGTGCCTCATTTCCTTGATGTAAAGGAATACCAAGCACCAGCCATCACCAGCCTCAGCTTCCTGTCTCCTGGTCTTAGATGCCTCTATTTCTGCGGCCTAAACGGTCACATCAGTTCACCCAACAAACCCCACAACGCATCGCCTCCGTCGCCTTCCGTCTCCCCAAGTTCCGCCCTTGGCTCCCCAAGGGACGCTGGGGCGCTTCAGCCAATTCAGAACGGCCGCGCTCGGACCTTGCAAGACGAGAGTGGATGACAATGGGTGCATGACCCCGGGTCAACCACCCCAAGTGATCGGCAAATATACATGGTGTCTCTGGGTACTGAAACGGGAGATCCCGCCAGATGGACCTCTTGCAAAAATGAGATATGTTAATCAAGTGAAACCTCAAGCTGGCCTGCTTCTCACGCTGAGAAGGAAACGGTTCATGATCGATCATAGGGTAGTCTCCTTCAAGTCAGTGGACTTGACAGCTTGAAATCCCTTCCTAGAACAAAGAGCAGGTACTACAAACGAGAGTCTTGCACAAAGGACAAGGACAGATATTCCCTGCGTGTTGAAGTGTTTTAGAGTTCTAACGTTAACACTTCAACAAACAAACTAAAACGCTAAGTTCATGTCTTTCGTGCAGTTCATCTCAGTTCATCGGACAGTTCCTTCGACCTCAAGCGATGTACTCGGGTACCCGGTGCCAGCCCCGACCCCGGTGCCAGACTCCCAACTTGGACCGATCTGTAAGATTCCTAGCATTGATTGAATGACATCTCGAACCACACTTCCCAGACACTCCATGTATGCCATATTTACCTGGTTTGGGGGGGTCAATGTAGGCATTTGTGCCATACATGGAGTGTCTGGGCTTGGTTTTACAAATTAGCCCATAAAGCTCCAGTCAGTGCTGAAGGTATCCCGAACAACTTGCAAACGAAGGGACGACTGGAGCCAAGGGGGTAAGAATGTGACTCCCAAATCGCCAGGTCTGCCAGGTCAAAAAATGGTCCAACAAACAGCTTTCGGGGGATGGCTGAATTCTTTCGAAGAGAGTGCTCTCCGTCCTCCGCGGTCCTCCCGTCTTTTCACACAAGGGGCTGCATCAAGTCTCTTGACACTCGACACAACGCCGCCTGGGGAGGCAGAAGGAGGGGAGGGCGCCTTTTTTTGGCTCCGCCCGGCCGAGGGGGAAAGAAAAACACATGTTGGGCAATATGGGGAATGTGTTAATAAATGTGGTCTGGGTATACACCAATCATTGGTGATATGGGTCTATGCCAGGTACCATAGACACGAACGAAAGTACCATATCCCAGTCTTACAAAGAGAAGGCGGTACTCAATCCATCAGTTTTTAAGTTTTATGTTGCTATGTTGCCATACTAATTAGTTCCTATAGCAGCTAGACTTTAACTGAATCAAGCGGCGAAGGCATGGTCCTTACTGTACCACTGAACCGGCATTCGCAACCGAACAGATCCCCTTGGGTGAGCAGGAATCCCTTCGGTGCTTGGGGAAGCCTGTGGCGGTCTTGGCAGTTTCCAGTTCGATGGTGGTTCTCTTTTAATTGCATCTCAGCTACCACTCTATAAGGAACCAGGGATTCGTTCGGTCTATGGTGTTAGTCTTTGGAACCACTGGTTACCAGCTAGTACGTGGTTTGCCCCTGGATGCCCTGGGCTCTTGCATCAATGCTTTGCCTGTCTGAGTCGTATTTTGCCGGCTAAGATGGCCAAGTCCCCTCTATGAATCAACCAGGCAATTTGATGGCTGGAGCGGTTGGGCGAAGCGATCACTAGAGGCTGGCTAGAGTGTGCAAACCAGTAACTTTGCCACATGGGGCAGGGCTGGCAACGCAACGCTGAGCAAAAGATTGAAAGGTCAAGAACGCAAATAGGATGTTGATTGAATTAAGTTCTCTAGGGATCCAACCAACTCCTCAGAAGGTAGTTAGAACCCGCAAACTTACCGCTCAGGAGGCATATTATTTATATAAATATAGGGAATTCATACAGTGTTTACAATCCCATTAGAATCAAGCCTCCGGGTGTAACGCCACACGCTTTTGCGACCACACCAAAGCAAACCTCACACCCGGTGTCCTCACACCCGGTTGATTCCGACCCACCAAAGCAACCTCACTCCGACCAAAGCGAAAGCAAAGGCAGTTCGAGCATTTGAATCTAAGAAGTGCTTGATTTTAGTGAGGACTTTCACTATACCTGGACTTTCCAGTCTGAAGATCAGTGTAGGGTACTCCAACCAAAAACAGAGGTCTGGGATGGTCTTAGTAAATTGTTATGTTGGACGATCCAACAACCATTTGTAAGCATGTGTAAGCCTTCTGTGTTGTCCTAGCCTGCTTTACACAGTGTTCACTTCTTTCCCCATCTCAGGTGCTTTCTCCACGACACCTGGCTCGTCTCCGCGACGCGCGACGCGCGCGTCTCTGCATGGAACACCGACCTTCTGCGCGACGATGGGGTCCGGCCCAAAGATGTGTTCCACCAGCCGCTTGCAGGGGATCACCTCAAAAGCCACAGGGCGACCGTAGCGGGTCAAATGGACGTTGTGGGTCAGAGCCAAAGACCTCATGTTTGGAGTTGATCGCACTAAAACACTCGTCAATGAGGTAAATGACCAGGGTTTACCCTGGGTAGCCCGTAGGGACCGAGTTCAGCATGGGTCAGTTCGATGGGAAGAACTTAGGCATCCAAGACACACGATCCTGAACCTTCATCTAGTAACTAATGACTTGATCATGACCAAAACAAGCACAACTGTCGTATGGAAACCCTGCTGGCGCCATTGCAGCAAGAGGTCAGATGTTGCGCATGTTCCATCTTCTATCTACGAGACGATCAATGGATGTTCATCCATTGGGAAAACACGGTGCCATAAGAATCATAAAACTGAAGGCATGCGGCATGTGTCCCAAGTTTGAGCTGGTCACAACAAAACTGAGAAACAATGGCTGCTAGAAAAAGAACAAACACATTATTGAAACACAACATAGACATTCATCTTGCCCCTAAGAGTCTCCTGCTTGAGAGCTTTGTCCAGGTCTCTTTCTGCACTTGACAAAATATAAAGAAATCCAGCTCCCATCACCTCCTGCCCTTCACAACCCACCAGGAGTCTACCGAAGCGGAGTCTTGGAACTCGCAGAACTGAGCTTCCGTGCCATGAGGCCCCAAGGGAGGAAGTTCAGGATTCCCCAGAGAACCACACCCAGGTAGGAGCCCAAGGGGCAATGATAGCCTGCAGGAAGACACCAGGCTATGGACGGTCAGCTTCCTAAAAAAAAAAAAAAAACAGCAGGGTGTGGGTGGAAAGGGAATGTTCGCCACATGGTTTGGGCCACAGCCATCAAAATAGAAGCACACCAGCAAATATCACTATCCCTCCAAGCACACAAAATCCCACAAAATACAGTGAAACACATTGCACTACAAAGTGTAGCAAACAAAACAGACTGTGACAATGTGTGACACTGTTGAAAATCCTCCGTTCAACGTTCAACGCTTCTCAGGAAATATATGGAAATATCAACTGCCCATTTCAACCCATGGCAGCCCCCACCCATCAGATTGGTAAACCCCCATAGAGCCGACCTTTCGCCTTCGCCATGGAACTTCTGACATTCACCTCCCGTTTCGGTTGAACCTATTACTCCCCGCGGCGCCAAAGCCAACACCGCGCGCGCCAACTGACAAACGACTGGCGCCTAGGTGTAGGGCGCCCTGGCGCTCCGCTGCGACCTCTAGGAAGAACTCCAGCCTGGTCGGAGAAGGATCCTAAAGCCCAGTGGGCCAGGTTGGATGTCAAACCCTGCAACGTCCAAGCATGGGCCTGGCCACGTAAATCATTTGGATCCTTCAACAAGCCCTGCACAAATGTGAATGACCATCTTGGAGACTAGGGGGATTGAAATTGAATGTCAACGGTGGACAGCACCGTCCATGCGGTCGGCACCGGTTTCACCAGCCAAGGCTACGTAGTTCATCACATCTCCCCCCAAAAAGAGATCCAGAACTGGCTGCACCTGAAACATATCGTACGTTCCGACCATAACACTAACTAGGAGGTGAGAGTGCCGCCAAGAACAACACCTTAAGTCTCCAAGAAGCACCTGCAAGGGATGCGCTTCCCTCGACTTTGATACCACCATATTCGACTGTTGGTGCAATATCCTGGACCAAAACAACAATTAAATGCAGAACCTGGCAAAGCCATCTTTTCAGCATAAATCTTCGATTCAAGTGGTCACAAATCTTGATGTCACGGAGCACAAATCCTGGATTCCATATTATATTAAACAATAACGTTCATAAACTGTTTCACTCGTCTGAACCAATTGACTGATATGCCTATCGCCATCTGTCACGTTCACCTAACCAAAAACCACTCCCATCTCCGGTCAATCACACCATCCCATCCCCACTTCCGACTCTTTGGTGCCCGGCCAGCTGCAAATGGACTGCAAGCCCGGCCGCCGGCCGCCGGTCGAAACCTCGACAACTCGCACGAAGCGAAGCGGCAACCGCAGCTGGTTGAACCGGATTCCTGGCCCCACCATTGGTTTAATAGCCCGAATCCCGAAAAAAACATTGCTTTTCTAGGGGTTTACATGGTGTACGCATGTGTACACTAGGTCGACCACTTTTCAAATGGTCTTGGATGCCTTGTATAAGGCCTGTACAGCACGCAGAAAGAATTTGTTCAATACTTGAATCGTCCTCAATGTTCGCAGTCAAATGCAGCATTCCTCCATTTTTCCGAAGAAGGACACCTCACAACATTCCTGGGGCGAAACTTCCGTGAGTGCCGAAGAAACATAAGACCTGCGCTCACCCGTATGTGGGGGTTCCATGTATTTCACGGATCTTGTAGAGACCCCTCTAGACTGGGGTTTCAAATTCTCACCATGAGTGAAACATTGGCAATCGCAATCCCTCTTGGATCCGCCCCAAGAAACTAACTCTGGGGACTCATATCCTACCATCATTAGGTTTTGTTTTTGAGATTACCCACACACTCCATGTATGGATTGAATATATGAACCATGCCTGTGGGGTAGATACCATACATGGATATGTATGGAGTGTTTGGATGAATAGATCTCCTGCAGTTTCCGCATGTACACATGCTTCAGTCCGGTCTCAGGGCTTTAAAGCGGTCTCCAAATGTGGCTGGAGAAACAGCCAGCTGCTGGAAGCAGCTCCATGTGTGAAAAAAACAGGAACCTTTGAACTGACCTTGAAAAGAACCATGAACTTACTTCGAGATGCGGGATGCTCAGCAAAAAAAGTCCCCAGAAAGGCGGCCTGTGCAGCATGTTGAAGCATGCGCGTGCAACAACAACAACAACAACAACAACAACAACAACAACAACAACAACAACAACAACAACTACTACTACTACTACTACTACTACTACTACTACTACTACTACTAC